TTGCATATGCAAATGTTTTTACGTGCGCTCAGAATAGTGGCACAAAAATAACGCCATACCCCTCTAACTAAGTCTACAGTGTTGTCAGTTTGAATGAATAGATCTGATCCAAACTATTGGAGGCTACTGAACAAATGTCCTGCAGTAATAGTTTTTTGTGATATCATAGTTCAGTATTTTTGACATATACGCTGTAAGTACTTTTTCCACAGGAATCCAGGGCCCATTACACAAACCTCAGAGCCTACGACAAATGTTTACAGTTTTTCTCAGTCGCTTTGGTGCTGTTCTCACATCACTATTAACATTTGTACAGCAGTTAGTGTATTTCTCAAAACAATTGGTGCAAACTGCAAAACCTAGTGGATAACCTGCAAAAGCAGGTTACTTGCTCAAAATCGATAATCCATTCCTGAAAAGCAAGTATTCATGTCAATGAAGCTGCCAGTGTCACCAAAATGTGAAGTCGTGACACCATCTTGATGAACAACATGACAAATAGCTTTGTCATGTTGTCATTATGAGTGTTCAGTATTCTTTCAGTGTTTTCCAAGAAAAGGTCAGAACTCGGTGACACTACCTGAAAATGCTCAAGACAGCACTATATACTTTTTGTACTGACATCCCTGTAGTTAGGGAAGTAAGTGAGTACAAGACACTGAATACGCGTGTTTCACATTTTTATTGTGCCAAAGAAAACTCTACAGTCACTTATTTAGAATAAACATGAGAAACATCGTTTTGGTCGAGCTGTGCACAAATATGAACAATACAACAGTGCACATTGTAACTGAACACACATGAATCACTCTGGCACATCCAGATGTTGCTGTCTGTCTGGCCACATATTTTCATCTACATCACAACAGATATAATTCCTTGCAATGCAGCGAGGAAAGTATCTCCTGGAGTGGCGACTCCACCCTCTGCATGACTCTGCTGTGATGTCGTCGCATGGTGGTTCAATGGTTCAATGGTAACTTTATTGTCCCTGATGGGAATTGATTCGCAGTATGTCAAAACAAACAACAAACATACAACCAACACATCACGTACACTCATTAAAAAAATACTATAATATAATATAAGCCTGATAAAACAACCTAGATATTCCATCGAAAAAAGTGCAATGTGCAACAACACTTACAATTTAGTGTTGTTAATTAAGATAATAGCACTAG